GGTACCAGCTGGGATTCAAACCCTGGTCTCCCGCATCAAAAGGTGGTGTTCTAACCGCTATGCTATCCAGCTACACACACACACACACACACACACACACGTGCTCAAGGAAGCTGTTGCAGAGGAAACTACCATGGCAGAGGGTGAGAACTGAGAAAAATCACATGCATATGACCTAATGCATTAAGGAGGACAAAAATCTCTCCTTTTGTATGCTAAAATATCACAGAATGGAAGACCTCCACCACAGTTAGAATACACAGGCCAAGTTGCCAGGCCCTCTTTTCTAAAGACCAAGTTGTATGAACTTTGGGCTTGCAGGAGTTGAAATACCAGAAATACCTACATTTTTGTTGTTAATTCTCAAGCTGGAGCAAGCAGATTAAAACTAGGGAATTGGTAGCTTCCTAATATATAGAGAGAACCATAATTTATTCAGGGAGATGGTGTTGGTGATGCTGGAAAGTGTCATTTCTGGGTGTTCTGGTCTGTATTTGTTCTGATCATCAGTGGTATGCCCTAAACTGACTTTGATGTTTTGCAAACATTTTTTTTACCACTGGGAAGGGAGATAAAATGAATTGTTTGGTGTGTGTGTGTGTGTGTGTGAGAGAGATCGAGATCGAGAGATCATATATTTGCCTCTTTTCCTGATAAGAGAGGCAGAACAGAATTAAGCTTCACCACAAATAGTGCTCTTTAAACTGAAGTTGCACAACAGTGTGCTAATAAAGAAACAATGGATGTTGTAGTCATGCCCCAGCAGTCTCCTAAATTTGGGAGCACAGCTTTTGCTTACATAAGTAATTCAAAGTGTTGTAGGACAATGCATTTAAAAAAGGAATATTTGATGTTTAAGTGTGTGTGTACTTTACTTAAATCCCTCAACAAAGTGCTTTTTAAAAGTTGATGTATTTGCACAAGCATGAGGGAATTTGTGGCTTTGGGCTACATTGATAAAGAGCCACTTTGAAATGGCTACCACAATGAAAGCAAAGCCCCAAAGCATCTATATAGCAAGGAAGAATTATATTTGGACCACATTTATGGAAATGGGATTTGTTAACATTCAGTCACACGCAAATCTACAAGCTTCCTAAGGTGTGTAGTTGCTTAAGATGGTTTGGTGCTTCCGTTGCTAAGGTTGCTCTTGAATGTGTTAAAAGACTATCATAGGGACTCCGTAACTTTTGGAGTGTAACGCTAAATCGTCTCTAAGCCAAAAGTCTAATATTCCACAATGGTAAACCTATCCAGCTTTGATGTCTAGAAGATGCAAACTATGCAGTGCTCATTTACATGAGCTTCTAAGGTCACGTAAGTATTCTACTTGCCTTTCATGGAATTAATAGACTTGAGAAGCTGTTACTAGCTTGCCATTTTTTTATCGTATTAAAAAATACAATAAAAACACTGCTAAAAAAAGTTGGTGACTTTTAAAAAACTTATATAAAAACTATAAACCCAAACTCCACAGGATCATTACCATCATCCAGAGACAATGATGGAATGTGGGCTAGCTGTTAGATTTTGGGCTGTTAGGTTGTTACTGGTACAAAATCTTTTTCCAGAAATAGTGGCAGAATATTCATGGAGACTAAGTAAACAGAAATCAACTGGACAGGAAATTCATTGGTACGATGTCTTCTTGCTCAACCACGGTTTAGAACTTCTCTGGATTAATACTGATTTTTTTAGCTGTTTGCAAACAGGATTCATATGCTTACAACTCCAGAGGTAGAGTACAGTATTGAAAAAAACTAAATTTAAAGCTGAGATTCTCAAATTTTTATCCAAACCACTGGGATTCCACATTGAATGGAAATAATATCTTACAAGTGTATGCTAAGGGCTCAGTGAATTCCTGATCTGAGTTAGCAAAAGGGCCCTTTAAGGTATCTCTGATAAAAGCTGTTGTTTTATGTTCTGACATTCAGATGTATGGCTCCTTTAACAAAAGGCCTTTGGTGTCAAGATTACTAGTGGTAGAATGTGAAAAGCTTGATATGGACAGGGTTTAAGGCAGTGTTGTGTCAACAACTGCTCCCCTCCTTATAAGTGAGAGAAAAACATCCCCACTCCCCACCCCCCCCCTCGGGGGGTGGGGGGGGGAAAAAG